CCCCCCGGTGCACACTGGCTCTACCCCCCCCCCCTCACCTACAAGATCAGCCTTTCTCCTCTCCGGAGGATCGACCTGACGTGTCCGTCTGCCCCAATCTGGTGCTTCTTCCTTATCTAACTGTCCCTTTATTGTATCCCCCCTTCTCTCGCAAGGTAATACATTCCCTTTAACCTTGCATTATTCTGCCCCCCCCCCCCTTTAATATTCTACCCACACTATGGTGTCGTCTAATATCCTAATCCAGTGAGGGTGACCATTGCACAGCCCACAAATTTTGTTAGGCTTTGTAGGGTCCACTAACTTTTAACTTGGATTTGTTCAATAATTGTAAGTAATTGCAAATTCAAATGTAATTAATGCTAAGTCAGAAATTAATTGTTTTTTTTTTTTACTCAGCTTACTCTCTTTGGATTTTATATTGGAACCCCAAAGTAGTTCTGAACATCTCAGATGCAGAGTATTTATAATAATAATGCAGTCTAACCAGACAGGGCCTCAAGGAGCACATAGAGAAATATCTGTAATGACAATGATTGCATTAACGTTTATCTATTGAAGGAAGATTTTAAAGGCACAACAAACCACTTCATTATGAATAATTGCAGTCTGCACAGTCATTTACTTTAAATTTATTAGATTCTTTATATCATGTTGTACAGTACACCTCACAGACTTGCATAGCAATAATCAATACTAATAACCTCACAAATGGTCATACTCATTGGATCGGAGCATATGCCCATTTTCTCTGTTGGAAGAAGTTATTGTCCTGATCAAACCATTGTGTCCACAGGGGGAGAAGGGAAAGAAAGGCAAAAAAGGGCCTAAGGGGGAGAAAGGAGAACAGGGTGCCCCTGGATTAGATGCACCCTGCCCATTGGTATGTCCCAGCTAAGACCTGGAAGTCGCCTCTCGGTGAAGTAGGACAGCGGACTCTAAGGGAGTAGCAGCCTGTAGCTGAACCCGCACGTTATGGGCACCAGTAGATCTTATCTGGCATGGAACCTTCAGAAAAAGCAGCACACTGCAGTACTTTGTAGGGGCTGAAGGTGGTGTTCTCCAAAAGCGGTGCTGACGCCCAAGGTGCAGGCCAAACCCCAGGCTGCTTCTCCCTTCTTCTTTGCGAGCGACCCCCCGTCCGGTGGGGGCTGGCTGCCGGGTCGCGTCTCCCAGTAACACTCCCAGTTCATTTTTACGAACAGGGATTCCGGGGATTTAAGGGTGAAAAGGGAGAACCAGGGCAGCCTGGTCTGGATGGGCTGGATGCCCCTTGCCAGTTGGTACAGTATTCCCTTTCCTACCTAATCTGTGCATGTCTACCTTCTCCTATTGACCAGAGGCACGCAGGAGAAATGGCCGCATCAGCCTGAATCATCAATGCATGGCTTGTGCATGGAAACTGGAACCAATTCTGTTTCAGCATGACATCCATAGTGCACGTTCTCCAGCCAAAGACCAGATCGAACTGAGAGTAACGTTGTGCATCTTGTATGGACGCACTGCCCACTGAATGCTGTAACTGCGTTCCTCCCATTAACCAACTTTTTGAACTTATTAACTTACCAAGCAGCTAAAAATATTGAAAGTGTTGGTTGCTGAATGTAATACGAGTAGTATAGTGGCTGTTAGCCGTTTACTATTAATGTTAGCATTAACTCAATAACAATGGAAACGTTAAAAGTAAATCAAAAACCACCTCCCGCTGAAGGCCAAGGAAGCATTTCCCTAAAAATTCCCTTCTTTTTATTAACAAGCTCTAATCTTTGTTCCCAGAAGTATCCCATTGATACCTCGTCACCACAAGACCTGCATTACTAGCATTCCACTTTCTAGTTAACACTCTCTTCTGCCTGATATTTGTACCAGTTCTAAAAATTATTATGTAACAAAAGAAGCGACACGGTACAGTCTCTGATCTTCTGACTGATTTTTGGTATTGCGTGAGAACCAAGGAATTAAATTGCACGTGTTTAGGGTTTGTCGAGCCTGGTCATTTCGGCCAGTGTTTCCCAAACTGGTCCTTGGGGACCTCCAGACAGTCCATGTTTTTGCTCCCTCACACTTCCTAACCAGACTGTCTGGGAGGGAGCAAAAACGTGAACTGTCTGGGGGTCTCTGAGGACAAGGTTGGGAAGCACCAATTTAGGCAAAAGCACAAGTGTTTAAAGCTTTGAATGGCTTCATGTTAAGCCGCAGTGGGAACAGAGTTGAAAATGCATACTACTAATGCTAAATAAGTGCTATACATTTTTGCTTTTGAACATTTTTGAACATGTTTGAGGCATACTTGCAATATTTATTAATAGCACCCTTATAATGAAGATTAAGGACCAGTAATGAAAGCATCACCTCCTTTAGTCAGTAAGACAGTAGAACCTTGACTAATAAGTATCAGGCTCCCACTGACAGATTTCAGATATTTATAAGTATGAGCTTGTTGGGTTTAATATTTTTAAAGCTGGACGTTTCACTCTGCATGAATCATTCCAGTGTCATTTTGGGAGGGTGTGGTAAAAAGAAATGTTAGGTGAGTAGGGGGCTTCGTTTGTGTGGAAACACATCTGATTGTAATCCAACATTTTCATGTGAGGAAGCTCTTAAGCCTTGCAGATGAGGAATTGTGACTGCATGTTTCATCTTTTAAGAAAATTGACTCACCAAGGGGAACACAATACTTCAGCATTTATGTTATTATATTTCAAAAACTCTAAATTTACTAATTGGCTTTTTTTTGAGTACAAGAGTTGTAAATGGGTTATTTCTAAAATCATTAGTTTCAAGTAGCTATGCTACAGTGAAAATTAATTGCTCACTAGATATTCAATCCTATTTTTACTTGTGGAATAGACGTATATTTGAATTGTCATTCTACTAAAGCACAGGATCACTTGGTTTTTAGACTGTTTTGTCTAATTTAACTGATTTCTGCTAGCAGTTTAAAGAAAGCTGGCAAACATGCAGATACACATTTGTCAGCAAACAGCGCTGGGAAGATTCTTAAAGGCACTTTAATTCTGTGCAAAGCAATGAGTCAGACCCTCCAAAGTATTTCTGTTGTACCTATTGTGTATCTGCTACAATAATGTGACATGACTGTGTTCCCTTGGGGAGTTTATAGCACTTTGTATGTTTCATTCTTGACATATACCTGCTGTGAGGAGATTCATATCTGTGGGCCTTCATCCATCAATACAAAGTAGAGTACAGAGTACACTTTCTCTCTTTGTGACTGCAGGGTCCGGACGGGCTCCCGATGCCGGGGTGCTGGCAGAAGGTATGTAAATTGCTTAACGGCATGCGATCGAAAAAGTGTAGAATGCAGAAGGCGGGTGAGCTCTGCAAGGTCTCGGCTTTTGAGAAGGATCATTGTCTGAGGTCAGCTCGGTTGCCGTAAAGCCAACTGTCGTCTCTTTCCCAGACGACGTATTGGATTTATTTTTTCCCGTCTCACTTTGATGTGGAACAAATCAGATGTTGTCATGTTCCATTATTAGACTGAGCTCTGTGCTGTGTAGGGAAATCGCATGCTCTGTTAGACAATCATAAAAGGGCCGCCATCAAGCATCCCGCGTAACCTGTTTACCTCATATCTGTCTCTCTCCTGTGCTTTCTTGCAGTGATGAAATCTAACCGAAACGCATGGAGTTTGTAAATAACGCCTCATTTTTTTTTTTTTTTTGTATTTATAGTTTTTTAAATTGAACATAAAGATTATATGAATATATAAAGAACGCTCATGAAGTTTACACGTAGCTGCTTCTACTCACCTGACGTAACAAGTGTTTGTCTTACATCGGCGTTTTGGAGTCGGGGTACTTGGGGCAACCGCCTGGGCCGTGCCAGTTACCATAGCTAGCATGAGCCAAGGGCAAGGACTAGACTGGATGTTAAGACCAAAACGGACTTACAGGGAGTCAGGAAGAGACGCTGGAGGGACTGGACTAACTACCACATGGGATAACAGACATTGTCATTTGTTCATCTCAAGCATTCATTTCAAGTTCTTCATCCCTCCATGCCACACTACCAGCTCAAAAGACTAAAACATTCATGCCAACAAAAATACAAAAAAAATGAGCATGAGTACTGTGCCAAACTAGGCGAATATATGTATGGATATACATATTGCTTTGTGGTGTGATCCTATTTATGGCTTTCGAAACACTAACTGGCTGACGGTTCATTCCAGCTTACTTAAAACAGAAGTACAAAGCTCTGAGTTTGTGATCTTTTTTTTTCCTTTTGTCATCTTCCAAAGGGAGTCACACCTTGGCTGGTGGCTTGAACAGATTTGATCACCAGGCAATAGAGACGGGTCATTCTTTTTCTTTATTGTGGCGATGCCCTCAAAGTTGGAGATGCACGCTCCCCCTGGGCCAGCTCTCGTGCCGTGCTGGGTTTGCCGAGGAGCCCATGTCCACTTACAACACGGTGTTGCAAACAGCACCAGTCATTGGCTTAGGAGGGAGATGTGGGCGTTTCACAGCCCTGTGTACAGCCTATCAGAGTGTGGACTAAGTTCAGCATCGACTTGGACCATCGCTCTTTGGGGAAAGATAGGTAAATGTACCCTCGATGCAGAATTCCTCAGTGAGGGAAAGAGGCGTGTCACAGGATGAAGTCCACAGTCATCTCTTCAGATACCAAATAGGCCTCTTCAATGAACTTTGGTCTTTGCTGAGATACCTGAGTTTGAATGTAGGGGGAAACATCAATACAATCTACTGAGATGATGTCAATGGAACTATTATTTTAAATGTCTTTTTTTGCCATTGTTATTGTTTGAATTTTTTTGTTGTTCATTCCCTTTGTTGGAAATACAAATATTTTAACATGCTTTGAGTAATAAGTACAGTCTGATTATTGAAGAATGATAATCTAGTTATGTACAATACTACAGTATTAAACCACAGTTGTATTTGGTGTTTTATGTTATGAACAATTATTATTTTTTGTTTGTTCATTTGACGTACTAAATGTTTTCAGCAGAGATAGTTCCCATATACGGTAATTTACATTGATCATGGAGACTGACAAGAAACATAGATTACAAACTTGTATGGATTTTTATCAAAAGTATAATTGGAAAAAAATATTTTTCGCTGAAATATAAAATAGTGTGTCGCAGTTAATGCCAAGAGCTCCGCATCTGAATTTTGTTAATCGCTACAATTAGGATTAATCCAGCCTTTGTTCATTTTGTCGCAGAGAATGTGCAGACTATCTTCAACGTTAGTGTGTAACTGTATAGAGACGTCACTTTTAAGGAATGAGGAAGATTTCTGAAAAGCTATTTTATTTCCACAGTATGAGTTTCAGTTTACTGCTTTGGAACACAAGGGAGAAGTTGACCTTGACCTTGCAGCAAGCCGAACATTATTTAGTTTTATTTTTTTGCTGTCCAAAATGCAATTCCTGGCTTTACACCTACAGTAAACAAGATTTCAACAGAAACTGTACAGTTTCAAAAAATTGGTCCTTTGAAGGCTAGTTTAAAGCAGCGGAAGAATGTATTGCATTAATCACAGTTCTTTTCATATGTGAGGAAGTTGTGTCTCAATAGCACAGTGTCAAAATGGTCCACCAGACCATTCTGAATTAGGGGATTTAATCAAAGTTTCAATGGTACATTTTAATGGTACAGTCTTTTTGGACAGCAACTGACAAGGGTCAGTCAGAGTGGGATGTTAATGGTAGATATTCCATACATTAATATTACTCCAGAGAGGACAAAATTAATCAATTTAATGAGTGGATTTTGACTCATACTGAAGCTAGTTTTGCATGGCAAATTTGTTACCTTACATTCCAGTGCAGGCTGTAGGTTGTTTATTTCAGTTAAGTATAATCATCTTACACCTTCAACATTTTTTGTTTAATTTGACCATTTTAACTGTTTTAGCCATGTCAATCACCTGAAAGCAAACAGCCATACTGACACAATGGAAATAACAGCATGTAGTAATTGTTCTTAATGCCTGCACACCATTTTCGCATTAAAACTGAAGCATAAATGTACAAATAATGCTTAAAATAATGCTAAACTTTGATGTTCAGTAAATTTGATTACTTTGTATATGCTTTACCATGGTTCAATGACTGAATGACGCATTCTTTCGGCAATATCGTTTTCCTTTTCGATGTAAATGTTTTTTTTTTTAAGCCTGAAATGATTTTCTTCTTTGGTGTTAGTAATGGTGCTACCAGCTTCAGAAAGGCACTGAAGGAAATGTCCTAGGTATAACCATTAATCTATCAGGCAAAGGATATTGTGTGTGTGCGTGTTTACGATAATTTAGCGTATTGCATATACTTTTATATTTGTATTGTGACTTTAAATGGTACATTATTTATTTTTATACGTATTCATCATATTGGTTTTAATCAGGCATTCCTTGTGACATGGGGTATTCAAGGTCCTTATACCAGCACGTTTATTTCTGTTTCCTAATTTAATTTATCAGAGTCTATGGAAATGACCTCACATTTGGAAAGGACACACATGCATCCTAAACTGCTATTTTACTGTAATCGAATAATACAGTAATTCACCGTTCTCTTGTGGAGTAATCTGATTGTTGGTGAAGGACACATTAGAATGATGTGGTCAATATTCATTATGTATTGCATAACGTTATACAGAGCATTTTATGTCCAATATTGGTTTGACTTTTGTACCGTCAACATAATTAACTGTAGACGTTGAATATTATACATTGAATAAAAGGTATATTGCTGTGGAGGTTGCATCACATGACCAAGGTCATATGATTTATCAATTCAATGACAGTGAGAGTCTTCCAGCTCTAGGTTTGTCGTGGAAACTCAGCTGTATGGTTTCTGGGTGGGTTCTACATTTCCATTGTTATGAATTATGGGTACAGCTTTGGCATTTCTTCAACAACTCTGCGTGGTACTCCTGTGTGAAAACAAAGACTGGTCCACCATTCAAAACCAGGCATTTTCCCATTACATACACACACATATATATAATGCCATGTATCTGCCCAATACACAATTATAGGCAAATTCCAGAGTTTCAAACTGTTTTTTTTTCTTGGAGCATTAATAAATCACCTGTAACTGTCTAGGATAATGATAAATCACCTACACAGACATTTTTTTGTTGAGACAGTGGTTCTTCTGTTGTGTACTGATTTCTCTTTTATTTCAATTTCATTCTTTGTCTTGGAATTGAATGTAGATTTTGAACTTGTCGAGGTACAGATATGTGACTCAGTATTCATTAATGTGAGGGAAGAAAAGACAAACATGGGAGTGTCTTGTACATATTTACCTGATTACATGAATACCATACATTCTCAACTGCAGCTGCATTTGTACATACAATTGTAATTACAGTTGTGTTACACTCACTGTATCATTGTTTGGTGAAAAGGTAATTGCATTTGGTTGTGAAGGTTAGCTCTTACAATTAAAGTCACCAGCCAATTTGTTTGCTTTCTGGGCCTTTGTAATTCTGGCTCCTCACAAAGATCCATCCTCAGCACAACCGAATTTAATTCTACGCCTTCCTTCACTGGAATTTCCCTGATGCATTTATTGAATTGTCTGCCAGTCTTTCTGAACTTCACACCAAGTAAGGTCCCTGACAACCTCGGGGTAATCTGCATGACAAAAATAGAGTTGTGTGTTGAATTTTATCACCGTTTGCCTACAATATGTTCCGCTGTTTCTATGTGAGTCCCCTGCCACCACCCCCCTTCCATTAACATTATATAACGTTTTGTTATAATTCACTACTGCAGCAGAATTTGAGCTGTCTGATTTTTTCTCCATTGGTGTTATTCCTCTTAATAGTATTTCCTTTGGCAGTAATCCAAAGCTCAGAATTTGTATTTAATGTTGTCGTTCCCAATGCTGTTCTCTGGCTGTGAACCTTGTGCATGCTGGTACACATCATCACACTGTAAAATGTCCATATCCAGAGATCTATGGTGAGTATTCAGACTTTTGAGTTCTCAGTTCATATAAAGTGCATTCAGAGCTGAGGATAATGATCTGTGAACTTAGTCTTGGCCACGTTGTTAGAGCTGAAGGCCACGCTGTGCAAACAAGGTGACACATGAATGTCATTTTTCTGTCCAACGTAACTCTTTAAAAGTTTTGTTTTAGGGTCTTGGGTTGAGCACTCAGTTTATTTTCCTTCTTTGTATTTGGTTTAATTTGTTATCAACATCCATCTTTTTCGTTTTCATTCTTAATGTTTGTATTTTTCGGTTTGCTGATGCTTCCAGATTTGGCAATTATTTCACATTATTTCAGAGGCATTTCATGAGGCTGTACTGTTGGAACCAAATAAATTCACTTTTACATCTTTCAAATGTATAACATTTATATGTTTTGTTTTTACCAACTTAAGACATTTGAAATTGCTGCCCAGCCACCATTGAGCTCCACATCTTCATAATAAGTATTTCAGCCGTTCTTCTCTGGAGGGATTAGTTGGAAACGGCAAATAGAGGTGATACATTTAACAAATGTGAATAACGACTTTTTTGGAAGTTCATTTTTCTGTCCTTAATTCCCAGTATAGACAGCAATCCTCTGCCAATCTTACACTGGAAAAGAACAGATGACTATGTAAATACACATCACTTGTGGGCCATGTGAGCAGAAAAATATAAAAAGAACATTATTTTACTTGCATTCATAAATAAAATAAAAAACCTACTTTAAGAAGTAAGATTATCATCCGTGTTTTAAGGACAGCCAATCATGCAAACTGTCAGAGCTGACATCACAGGGGTGAAACCTGGTGTTCTGCTTGGGATCCAGTAACCTGGTCAACAGTGAACCGCGTTTCCTGGGAAACGACTTAAGCAGGTCACATCATCACCCCCAAGGACACACATACATACACACAGCACAGCAGGAATGGCAGCTTATGTTAAAAATAACTCTCCCATAAAAATTATACAAGTAATGGGACACAGCTTTCGCGAGATGGCGTAATGAGGGATTCTGATCGAGTTGCACTCCCTCGCATTGTTTGTGGACATTAACATACAGTATATTTATCATGGGTTTAAGTTTAGTGGCAGCGTGGTTCTTCCAGGAGCAGGGTTTGAGTCTCTGTCCTGGCTCTATGTGTGTGAGGTTTGCATCTTCTCCAACTGTCATCATGGGGTTTCCTCCTAGTCTCAGGCTTCCCCCACACATTCCCAAAACACACTAAGGTGAACTGGAGTTGTGAAATAGTCCATGCAAGTGTGTGTGTGTTTGTGTGTGTGTGTGTGCGTGTGCCCCCTGTAATGGGTTGGCATCCCATCCGTGGTAGTTCCCTGCCTTGCACACCCATAACTTCTGGAATAAGCTGTAACCTTGAATAGGACAAGTAGGATACAGAAAATGGACAAAAGGATGGGACAATGCTGCATTACCTGCTATGTCAGCAGACATTCTGATGTACAAAGCAATAATCTACAACAAAATAACAGGGGAAAAAAAATTTAAAACAAAGTTTTGCAAATTACCTTCCCATCATGACCAGTTACTCTAGTTGTGATGTTGGTTTGGAACAAAAAGAAGCCTAAGAGCTGGACAACCACACTGCTTGTAGGCTTCCAGAGCCCCCAGAACACACGTTCAGACCCACGGAGAAAACAGCAAATATCTGTGTAACACAATTTGCATAAAACCATGTGTCTCAGTCACTGAAGCTGCCGTGAAAAAGCAAAATAAACAAAGTGGATTTGCGGGAGAGATTTTCAATGCCATAATGCCTTGAACATGTCCTCCAGCTGAAGTCAAGATAGCAGCAGGGTTCATGTGGACAGGAGATAAACAATGTTATGAGCCAGGCCTGAAGCGAAAGCTGGCGTGATGTATAATCTTTCTAGCCAACTTTCAAAGAGGCAAAAATAAAGTATCGAAGTAGTCCATCACTTCAGCTACATGGCACAAGATTAATTTTGGACAGATTTATAAAAAAAAAATTAAATCAAGAAATTCTCTTGGACAAAGAACAAAACTCCTGCCACAGCAGAAGAACCTCACCTACGTACCTTTTAGGCAGCATGAGTGCGATTACCTTCAGGGAGGGCACCATCAATCACTCACTGGAAGTGGTTTGCGGGGCCCATGACGAAACTGGAGAAGGGGAACTTTGATATGCCTTAATGAGATGGGAAACGAGCCAAGGCACACTCAGGACTCAGACAATAAGTGCACGAAAACAAACTCTGCTACCAAACGCCTACAGTGGGAATGACAGACTGCAGCCAAGGGAACGGTGGTGAGGTTTCATACATGAGATTCTTATACGCCAGGCCCAAAGCCTCGTGTGGCTTCTCCTGTTTCTTCTGCTTGGTACTAACAGCAGATGTTTTTGCCATATTGCATATTTACTCTCAATTTACTACCTGGATTACAGATGCATGCCCCTCAACAGAAAGCACACGCCACTGACAGATCTACTTCTATCTGTTCTGGCTCCGCCCCTCAAAACAATAGTACGCGTATAAACTAGATACTTCAAATTAATTGAGTAATCTATGTCGTGTTATGTCATCTATGTCATGAAATGAGTAATCTGTCATACGTGGGGGGGGGCACCATCAATGTCAGCATGATTTACATTTGTAGAGAATAAAAATAATGGTTAAAAAATACTGATGGTACATGACCATGACACGCAGACGCAAGAACAAAGGCAATAGTGCCACCTTCAGGATTTCTAGGCAAAAGTGAGAGCCCTTTGACAAAAGCAGCAACTAAACTTAAAAAAATTGTTTATATACGAACCTAAAGCAAACACCAACAACTCATATCTTATAAAAGTTTTTCATTTATGATTGCACTGCCTGCATGACATCCGCACTCCAGAGTATTAGGCAGAAAAACTAGTTTTCAGTGGAACTAAACAAATTATCCTGCTGCCAAAGAAGGCAACACAGCAAATTGGTCAACCAGCAAATCTTTTGTGGGATGAATCATAAATAAGAATATTTTGTCTGCTAACTTCACTCTACAGTACTGATGCAGCATCAAACCACTTACCCTGAGCAGGGTTTTGGGGGGGGGGGGCATATGAATACACGCATATTCATATGAATACACACATATTCATATGCCATGGAAAAATACTATATACCAATTAACCTAAATGCGTGCATTTGGACCACAGGAGGACACCTATGTTACACAGTGAGAATTTATACCATTTATACAAACAACCTTCAGAGACCTACACACAATAGTGTGATAAATCCTTATTCTCGCACAAATTGCAAATCGCAGTCTGATGGTGAACTTATCAATTATACGTCATTCCTATTCCCTTCCCAGCACAAATCCATTAAATAATAATAATAATAATAAGACCACTATGGACTTGGGGGACATTTCTTCAGCTTAACACAGGAAGTGTTCAGGTGAGGAAAAGACCTTAAGCACATTTCCCAGCTCCATAATCATGGAAAATACCTGGACACATAATGAAATGCAGCTCACCCGAGCTAAAATTAATCTTGGGTACAAAACATCAGAAACACACAAATGGAATTCAACTGCACATGTGCAGAAACGCCACACTGATGGACAGCACTAATAAAATATTAACAATGAGTTGTAAATACCTCCCCTACACAACAGCATCTTGAAAATGCTGAGAAACTCATCGATCTCTCGCACATGACTCCATACAAGACCTGATAACCTGGCCCAAAGGCAGCCAGTGAGCTTATTTTATCCTTTTTGCGGCTGAACAGGAAATATGGCACTTAAAAGAAATGCGTCGGGCCCAACTCATCCTTAATGTGCACGCAGAAACACACCGACAGACAGAAATCCTGTTAAGTACAAACGTTTATTTCTGGTCTTAGAAAAAGGATCATCGAACACAGCTGGACAGAAGTTCTGCAGATTCAAAGACTGTACATCAAGTGCAGTTTTGAAGTTGAGAGACAAAGACCTTCAGGATCTAGAAACAAAATCCAAGATGATTCTGCTCAGTGTAGATCACTGTACTCTAACTGCAATACATTGAGGTTCTGGTCTGTCTACTATAAAAAAAGTTGTAGATTAGGCATCAAGAGAACAAGGGATGAAATTTATTACCAGTGTGTCAGATTTCCTAATTTATAACAAAAATGCAGCTGGATCTCCAAAGTGCCGATTGGCTCAGCATCTGCGTCCTCCTATTCCCATCCTGGTCCAGTGGTGTCCTGGCGGCCCTGGCACCAAGCACCAGCTCCTCTATCCCATTAGGTAACCCCTGTAACAAAGAACATCTCTCTGAAGCACAAGTCGCCCCAAAACAGTACAAAGGACATCAGAAGATGATGCATAGAATGATTAAATGGAAAGGACCGTCTTAATGGGAGCGAGAGCAAACTAAATGAACCACCTTGTAGCCAAGTTGGATGCTCTCCAACCAACATCGAAAACATGCAGAACTGCAAAGAGTGTGGAATACAGCTACAGGAACATAGTGTGCGTATCTCAAGAGCAAAGCAGTCGGACGATTGTTTTTATGCTTCATCATTATAAATCCACCAATATTTTTGTATAGAACAGCAACTTGTAGTGTTGCAAAATTCTTGGATTTTTCCAAATAATTTCCATATTCTCATGTTAACTCCCATGGAAAGTTTCCAACCTGGAATATTTCCAAAATGCCCCAGCTTAACTTCCCATGGGATGGAAATTTTCCTCCCCTTTGCAACCCTAGCAACTAGCAATGTGTAGCACAATGAAATGTTTCAAGGGTGCCGGATAAAAAGGCCTTACCCTGAGCTCGGACCCTAAGCTTCACTCTCAATTATTGGGTATTTATGGAAAAACCCGGACAATTTCTGGAATCTTTCCCTCTCACTTTAAAAATACGATGCCAATCACGAATATTAAAACATAAAAGCAACTTACGGCAGCTTCATCCTCATGAAGACGCGGGCCATGAAGAAGCTGAGCAGCACGCTGACAAAGCCAATGAAGAGCAGCAGGAAGCGGTTCAGCTTCGGGATGTTGGGGGCGTTGGAGCGATCCAGGATGATGAAACCCAGGCCGCCCATAGTGAAGAGGAAACTGGAGGCCAGTCCCTCCATTATGTACTGTCCATTAACTCTGAGGAGGGGGAGCATTGTCAGAGCAGTAGGTGCTTAATCGAATCCCCACCCCCCTCCACAACACACTCCATCACCCCCAGCAGTAATTACCTGTTTTTAAACTAGGAGCAGCCATCCACGCATACAATCTCATTCACAACCAAATGCTGGTATGCACCTAATGTAATATGTTTTGCAAACTACCCCAACGCTTTTGATGTAGACAATTTTAGGTGTATAATGGAATAATATAGATTTTCATCAGATTTCTTGCGTGACCGTGAGATTCTGAAAGCATAAGTGTCACGCCAGTTGCGTGAGAGATGGCAACCCTGATGCTCCTAATTAAACTTGGCTGCCACAGTCCTGATCAGCATGACAGCAAATCACCAAGACATAAAGCAGCATCTGCCTGGTCCAGCTTCGGCACTGTAAATTACCTGTATGCTAAAAAAGCTACGGGCCTCTGGTGTCCATGTTCGTCGGTCATGGAACCGACACTCGGAGGTTCAACAATCACATCATAGATAATCCCTGAAAAATAAAACAGAAAACGTATACTAGCTATTCAAGTACTTAGTCTGCTAACTCCAAGGGACTGCGGCACTGCCTTTTCCCCGCTTAACAGTACACCACATTCTCGCTAGGGCGATAAAGAAACTATATGGAACATATTTAGGCAAAAAAAATTACTAAAATTATCCTGCAAGTATGCATATACCATTCGTGTTAATTAGTTAGCTAGCTACTCACCTCCTGTGATAAGAAAGTACGAGACAATCACCAGTGCATAGACCGTCATTGCGGATGGCATATGCAGAAATGAAGGCCTTTTGAGTTTTATATTTGGACATTCCAACACAGTAAATGGAAGACCGAAGATAGCCTCCATTGTTTTAAAAATTTGAGGAAAAGCCGTACAAGCAGTACTCTGATATGACTCTCAGAGCCGATAGTCTGAAATCCTGACGTGGCCCAAAATGTAGGCAGGTCCTAGCTGATGCATAATAAGAGACATAATACAGTATGACAACACCATAATGTAAGAATATAAATAACTAAATAAAAATTAAGAAAATATAAAATAGTTTATGAAAATTAGTAAAAAGCTTAAATAATAATATAATTTTTCCTTAATAAAACGTTGATTTTATATATTATTCTCAAGGCCGATAAGACCCGCTACATTTGACGTGGCAAATGCGTCAGCAGAACGGTGAAACTGTGATTCATGTATGGCCATTACGGCTCCAACCCTGCGTCAGTTCGCAAGGCATGAATCACAGAGTAGGGCCGTAATGGCGTGTAGTTTCAGTATTGCCTTAATTGGGAATTGTAGTTCCTATTTCGCGATCGACAGTACTGAGGTTTTCGCGACCCTGTACTGATTAAGCGGATATGGTGGATGGACTGATCCTTGCAGAACGAACTTAGGCAATACTAACCGTAAACCTAAGTAGATTAACCCTTATGGAAATTCAAATTGAAACCAGTAAAGTTTTTTTTTCTCAGTTGCTTTGGTACATTTCTCAGATCAGAAATTAAATTCGCACAACTACCAGTACAACCTCCACATCATCGAGTCACTTGTGCACATAATAAATGCAAAGTGTCATTGTTTTGGTCAAATTGCAAATGCTTTGGCACAGTCACGCAAATGATTGCCTACATGTAGTCATCAAACATCAACAGTTGGTGAAAATGTTTTATACTGGTTCTCTGCCCCCCACACACAAAAATTCTAGGCATTAGTTCATTGTATAAGTCATTACATGCAAAATGACTGAACTAGCTGTTAGAATCGATTAAGCAAATCCTTGATCTATACCGGGGGTGCCCACACTTTTTCAGCTTGCGAGCTACTTTTAAAACTCAAAATTTTCTACCTACTATGAAAATGCAAAACATATATTTATGTATCTGCAGCGACCTGCCCAGGGTGTACCCTGCCTCTAGCCCGAAAGATGCTGGGATTGGCTCCAGCTTCCCCGAGACCCAGATGGATTAAGCGGTATAGATATTGGATGGATGGATATTTATGTATAAAAACATGGAGTATTCTTTATTATTATTATTATTATTTGTTATTGTTATTATTATCATTATTATTAATAATAATAATTTCCCTTTGGGATAAATAAAGCATTTTTTAATTGAACTGGGATTTTAGTTCCTTCACCTTTCTATTTCTCAGTTCGCTTTTCGGAGGGAAGTTAATGTCGTAGTTTTTATGAACAGTTCGAAAATGCCGCTCCAAATTTCCCTTCTTCGGAATAGCAACAGACTGACAGATGAGGCAAATGCACTTCGAATATTACATTGTGAAAAAAACAGTCCTCCTCCCATTCCGTATGGAAGTGGTAGGTTTTTGGCTTCTTACTTGGTCCAGCTCCCCCATTCATTTGTATACCCTTTCTTAAGTTTAGTATAAATAAATCGGATGCTAACTAGGCGACTAGGTAGCTTGCTAGAGATTTGCAGCAGCTGGCGCGGTTGAACGCATCATCCATCCTCTATTTTTTATGCCATACGATCTACCCAGACTGCTGTACCTTTGCGATCGACCAGTAGACCGCGATCGACGTATTGGGCACCCCTGCTCTATACATCTGTATTACAGTAAATATATGAGTGTGTGTCCTGAATTGATTAATTGAACTCAGTTGAATCACTTTCACCCATAGAGGAATGTTTAAAGGGTTAGATCGATCAGTGATCAACTAGTTCCGTAAAATAGTGTATCTCATGAGCCTTCAGTTGGCAGCATATAATGACAGAGCAAAAAAACAGTTTTACAATTTGACAATGGAAGAACAACAAGGAAATCAGCAGCCGGTAAAAAGAAGAGGAGTAAGGCTGCATGGTGGAAGGGTAGGGAGGCAAAACAGAGGCACCTTCCCGATGAAATAAGGGTTAAAAAGTGGACCATGTCCTCAGTCATGGCCTTACGGCTGAATGTTGGGAGAACAACCATGTTCTTAATCATTCAAACATTTTGCAGAGACAACAGCTATGTAATCCAACAATATGCACTGTCCTGTAATATTGTATATTTCATATTACAGAATTCCATTTGAATTTTATGTATATAGTTAATATATTTTACAGTTACATATTGTGTGTATACTGTAGCACACATACATGTGTATGCATGCATATGTGTGTTTGTGTGTTACAGTATATGTGCAGTATGTGTAACTGTTGAAATTGATGTTTGTCATACAGGAAAAAGTACAATTTTGTGCATGTTCAGTCATTGTCATCAAAACCTTAGCTGTATTGTTTGCATTGGAAAATACTTAGAGTGTACTGTTGTATTGACAACGTGCCTAAGCATTTTGACCATCTTGTTCGTGAGCGATGACACAAGGACTTGTCATTCTGGTGGCTCTGACAAGTTCATTGACTTAAATATTTGCTTTGGAGGGATAAACAAAGGATTTTGAGAAAGCTACAGGCTTTTTGAGAAAGTTACAGGTGCTGTTTGTACGAACCGTTTTGAGAAACGCACTTACTGTTTTACAAACGTTAAGGATGATTTGAGAAATGTACCAAAGCGACTGAGAAAAACTGGAAGAGGTTACTGCACATCCAAGGGGCATGTGTGATACAGCATGGATAGCCTGACAGATTTGGGGGAGGGGGCACAGCACTTTATAGGGCTCCTCCCCAGTTGGCAAAGTCTACTGAGGGGGGTCTGACATCCCCCACCTGGCAAATCCTATGTGGGAACCATGTTTCTTCAAATTGAAAGCACCATCCCAAGCCGGAGGCCCAAGTGGAGGCATAGGGGCCTCTGTAGCTAGGCCCCAATGCACATCCATGCCTGCCCTTTGCTGTAGCCCACGGCAATCACCGCAACATTCAGCAATACGTACTCGCACATCCAGGAATCCCTACCGAATCACCTGGCTGTCCACTCAGGGCTGCCATTCACATCTACCTTCCATGTACTTGTATAAACTCATTTTTGTATTATTCTGTCTTAATGATATTGCAGTGTATCACAACACACCCATGTAAAGTGGCTTGGGGCAACTCTTATGAAAGGTGCTATGTAAAATAAATTGAACCCATTTCCAAATGCACATACTGTGCACTGTACAGCCCAGAATATTTTACATTTGTCTTCTGTTTATCCTGGCCTGGGCCATTGTGGTTTGGAGCCAATTCCAGGCAGCACAGAGTACAAAGCTGGGGTTCAACCTGGACAGGATACTCTGTGTGTGTGTGTGTGTGTGTTTATGCCTGTATGTGGCCTTTGATAAACCCAGGAATCAGTAGTGATTTTATCTTGCCCATCACAGGACAGAGACTCCTCCAATGTCATGCAATGGGCATGTTAGTGATGCCAATTAGCCTATCTGTACGTGTAGTATAGGGTTAATCAGTCCCAGCTGAAAGTTGAGGTAATTCTGAAAATAAATGAAAACAATTATACATTTTTCCAGATCCTTTATTGCCAAAAACAAATAGTCATTTACTTTGATTTCTGGCTCTGTGCCTGCGCCTTCAGAACCTTGACTACAATCTTCTGTTCTTCAATCAGAAAAGCACGCTTGATCCTGCAGGGATAAAACAAAGCGTCAGACCGACCCCAAATCGCTACCAAATATCACGTCACCACAGCTATGGGACTGACAATAGGTTACATTAGGAAAAGCAGAAAGGTGCAGCTGAAATTTTTAAACAATACATTAGTCATAAGAAAAAGACATTTTAACATGGTCATGGCATACCAGCATATTCATACCAGCATTTCTTACACCTGTGACCTGCACTTCGAAGCGGGGTTACTGGCTTATCGGGGTAACTTGTCGGATTTAAGGTAGTCTGGGCAAAATTTAAGTGAACGAATATGAAGTCCATTTAAACTGTGGCACCTTAAATTCGACAAGTTACCCGATAAGCCAGTAACCCCGCTCTGTAGTACAGGCCACAGGTCCCAAAGGGCAACAACATGCATGTTTTTTTAAAAACAAGTCCAAGTGGTGAGAGACAGAGCCAATCAGCATAGAGCATACCATCTGCGCCAGGGGGGTGTTCCACAAAGCAGGATTTCTTCATTAGCCAGATAGCTTAAGAGAAATGAAAGGATTGTCCAATAGGAATGTCTCATCTCTCTTCCTATTGGACAGTTTTCATGTTTGGCTTCAGTTATGCAGCTACCTGAGAAATTTAACTTTGCGGAATACTGCCCAAGTGTTCTCTCCTGAGAACGAGCCCCTAAGGCTACCCCCAGTAGCCCAAGCATTAAACACGCAGAAAAGCGAGCCTCCTACCTGTCGCGCACACATTTGGCGCACATGGACCCACCATAGGCCCGTGTGACATGTTTCTTGGTCTTTGAGAGCCTCATCAAGACCTGGGGTCTCACTGCACGGATCTGAAATACAAGGACAGCGGGTCAGTACTGGAAAACAGACCAGTTTTGCTTAATATCACTGGCAGGATAACCACTGTGGCAGACCGTTAAAAACCAGCGCTGGAAATGCTGAACCGGAGGATCCTCACTACATTTTGTCATATGTAGGACAAAGGACAGATTTTAAATGATTTGGTTCATTCTGACCAGTAAGAGGGCAGCTTTAATTCTTAAAGCACACCCAAACTACCTGCTTCAATAACTACTTTAGAAAAATGCAACTATAACAACAGGTTTAATAAAACTTCATACAATGACCCAACAACCACCATTATTCCTAAAAAACTAAATGGCATACTGAAGGAGAGAGAGAACAAGTGGCATTTTATTGCAGAATGCACAATGTTACAGTATCTTTAGACAACACAGCAGCGATTCGGTGCAACTGCTACACAGCATGAGCTGAAAGAGGCAGACTTACACCACGCAGTCTGCCGGGGCAGATGCCGCAGGCGGACTTGGGGGCCTTGCCGACTTTCTTGGTGTACAGGTAGACAATCCGATTGCCAGGAGTCCGCGAGCTGAAACAGACAGCGTGCCTTTAGGTTCCCGTCATCGTCAGCGAGCACCTCGATTTACACACTTTATATGACCATTTCAAGGCCGTAGTCAACATTGCGGGGGGGACCAAGGCCGTAATCATAATAAATATGGGGGGGCATTGTGAGCACATCTTAATATTGGGGGGACGTGTCCCCCTAATACATATTATAATTAAGGCCTTGAATCGTTTCAGGTATATTACAAGTGTTACTGCTATCTTCGTTCTTGATATATACAGCAAGCATCAAAATACAAGGTATTAATAAAATGCACGAAAGGTTTTGCATTTATAAAATGGGCACGTGATGGTTTTACTTACAGTCTGGTTTTGTTGGAAGCGGTGTTGTAGGACAACCTACGACGGTAAGTCAGGCGCTGGACCATGTTTATGTCCAACTGTTCTATGTGGCGTAAAACAAAAAACCATTAAAACATGATTTATAAAGACGAACAAGCACAAAAGCTACAATGAGCCGACAAGCACGACGCTAACGATGCCGGCTGGGGAACCATAGGCTGGCTTGCATTGTGATTCACCTTCACAGATGTAAAACGACAAGCAGAACTTGCAACAAAACATTCAATTGGGACTGCGATCAATCACAGTAAATAAACAGGCAAAAATATTGAACCATTCCCTTTAATGAGCATTTAGTAGGCAGAAAAACGAAGAATTGCCTTAAGCACCCCGCTAATGATCACGACTAGCTGGTTAGGAACATCACCGCAACCAAGACACTCGTTAAATATTACATGTAAAAGACAAAACGCTAAAATATTACCAGGAACACATCAAAGGCAACTCACTACTTAATATTTATTAAACTGTTTCTTTAGTTGGATGGTTTTAATGTATAGATTAAAAGAGATTATTTCAGTGTTGAATATAGCACAAAATTTCCTCCGCCATACCTGCTAGCACCTAAACCGGAAAAGGAAGAGCTTCGGCCAGGGTCAAAGGTGAAGACAAATCAACACCGGAAGAGAAACAAGTACCACGTGGTATATATGTTGTAGTTTGGAACAGTCAACCTTTTCGTTCTCCTAATGAATACGTAATAAAATTATTTTCATTCTAGCGTTTTAATTGGTAAATATCCCATACAAGCAGTTTAACAGTTTATATCATAATCTTAAAAGTTTAACAAGATCGACTTTGCCATCTCTATCCACAGAAAATTTGTAACCGTATTTATCTCTCTTTACTACTTTAGTCATTGCTGGAGTGTGCTTCACAGACTTCGTATAGTGATATATTTTCGAATAGTTTTATGGAATAATGAATATCTAACGTTAATAATAAAATATATTTCAAAGGAAGCTTTGTGGTCCCATTTGTTTGAATGGAAGGTTAACTGTTTGAGTAGTCTGGCATTAACTGTCCTTAATATACTAAGAATCCTGCACAGATGTGTGTGTGTTTTCCCCATGTAGTGCCGTTTTCCTCCTACAATTCAAAGACGTAATTACGCTAATTGGCATCTCTAAATTCTCCGTGGTGTATGATGATGTATGTATGTGTACCGCAGTGGGGTAGCATCGCATCCAGGGGGTACCCCTGCCTCGTGCCCTCTATTACATGGGAGTTCGGGCCGTTTCTAGCTATTGAAAAGATCAGGGGCTAAGTCAGGTTTACCTGGGGCTTGGCTTTCTTTTTATTTTCGAAGGAAGATTGGCATCTGGGCTAAAATACTCGGGGCTCCACACCCCTGCTTAGGATCAGCAGCTGGAGAATGGTGAGGGGGGTGGTATAGGAGTGTTTTTAACCTGCGGCGCAGGAGAATACGACACTTCCCTGAATTTATCATTCATACAAGCAATATGTTTATGTCCTGAAAATTTTGGGTCAGGGCAAGGGCGTAGTTTTGGTTTCAACAATGACAGGGATCAAATCAGCCCCAAACCCCCCAACCCCCAAACATGCACGGTACTCCCACAACATTGGGAAGGACATCTACTATCTTGGATCAGGGACTGGCAAGCTTGTGATTTAAACCCTTTGCTCTATAACACGAGGTCATTTTTTATCTCGACCTACCCACTCCATTTCCCCTCATTGACAGTTCGGGCCTTTTCAAATCTCCGCCATGCTGGTGAGGGAAGAAAACATGCAGATGTGCAGACTCTCACGCTCCAGCCATGTCCAAAGAGGGATGATGCCGTCCCTGCCGTGTGCCCTCCCGCTGCTTACCTGACAGCAGGCTCCCTCATCATCACAGAGTGACACGGCAGGTGGTTCCCGGCAGAGGTGACCCAGCCACCTGGCCCTGCTGTCAAAGGGGAAATGAGAAATCAAGGACCAGGCCTTCCGCAGCTTCAGCAGTCCCTCCCGCAGGGGTGCTACCGCAGATTAATAGGTTTGGGTTGTCTTCCTTTCTAACATGGAAATAATAAGGGTCCTTTTCTGATTGGTGGGTGTCAGCACCGGTGGAATGTGCAAGGGGTCACACAAGGCCTATAAAAAGAATAAAAGTCTTGCCTGCTCATTTCCACTGAAACTCTAGAATTACTACAAATTTGAGAATGTACTATGTGCCTTACTAAAGCATCTCCTAAATAAATAAACGTAACAATGTTTAATTCAAAGATTGTTACGTCCAAGCATCTCCCCTTTAACCACTCATCCAATACAGGATTCTATGATTGTGACCAAGTAATATATTAATATCTCTTTTCTCGCCTCAGTATTTAAACGGTGAACAGAGGAATATAGATAGATGCTTTATTTTTGCGTGATACAGCTGGGACTATTATAAGAGAAGTACGATGGCATTTTCAACTATACATTGTTGTACTTTAGAAGTACTGTGGAATTATTGCAAGAAACAAATAGAAACATGTTCTGTTTGATTAAAAAAAGGAACAAAGTAGATTATATAAATTCCATACACAAGTCACACAAGCAAGGGTGTAGGTTTTGGTTTCAATATTGATAGGAACCAAATCAGCCCTGAACACACCTGGTGCTCCCACAGTATTGGTAGGGGCATCTTCCTACTGTATGTATCCAAATCTACACCCTTGCAGATGCAGCATCTCCATCTATAGTGTCCTAGGAATACATAGTTTTTCAAGGCGCGAAAACACAATCATGTTAGGCTGTCAGGTAAGTTTGGTGATTCATGGTCAGACATTGCTCCCCTGTGTGAAAAGACGCCTCTATTCCTGCGTCACTGTCACCCAGTTTCCACGGCAGCACGGTCGCTGGGATTATGGAAATGTGAGAAGACACCTGGAAAAAAAAACTGTGGGGTCGTCAGCAGCTCCTCCCTTCCCACCTTCTGTCCTTATCTTCCATTACCAGATCCAATGTCTCACCTCCTGACGACAACATGAAAACTCAATTTCAAAATGGAGAATGAAATCACACGCTAATTTGCACGTCAGTTTAATAGGGCTAAATCTTAATACTAGACAAATCTTTTCTTTGGTGTGTACTTTTTGTGATTTTGAATGAGACATGGCACAAGAAAAACAATAGGTCGTAAAAAGTAAATATTATTTGCATAATTATTGTATTCTTGCTGTTCTTTGGAGAGGAACAATTATTCATCATCAAGAAAGAAAACTGGGGCCGGCATTGAAAAAAATATGTGTAATTAAATGCCTAAATTGCTTTTCTTTTGATCAGTGGTACATTTCTATTCTTTTGACCATTGTTTTGTACAGCCCTGTTCAAGTGTGGAGTATAAAAAGGCCTTTGCAAAATGTTCATTTTTAAAGTCAATTGCTTATTGTATTAACGTTGCTGGTTACATATTTATGAACATAAAAGAACCCGCGGTATCTATGTTATTTCATACAGCCATTTACTGATTATTTCGGAGCTGATAGTGAAGAAACAGAAAAACTCCAATACACATATTTCTTAATTGTCTTTATTTCCATATTTTATTACATACTTTATGTTCTTACATAAAGAAATACCATTTATTTATATTCAGGTGTACAAGGGATTATTGTATAGTTCAGTTACATATTATATTTGTATATTTGAAAGTAAGTCTTACATAAACACCAAAAAAAAAAACAGTACAGTGCAAGTATGTGAATTAGGAGTCGATTGATATCATTTTGTCTATTTACAGTAGTTTGCAATTAAAGATTTACACAATGTGTAAAGAATGTTACACAATCATACATGCTGACAGCTGGAGCATATTTCACTTCACCATCCATGTTAACAAAAGAATATATATCATTGTATGTTGGAATCAGTGCTGCAGTGCAGTCTTTGTCTTGCATTGGTGCATTTATGGCCCTAGATACAGAAAATTCTAGCATAGTTTTTTAACACTCGTGAGAGAAAGGGGGCCCTTTTTGTCATATTTGTAATAATGTGCATTGCAGGCTGCTGTGGACATATTGCACAAGTTGTCCCCTAGTCGTTCATCTTAGTTGCCACTTCGCTCTGAGGCGACACAAACAGAACAGCATGAAATCGAAATCCAGTCGTGCTAAATTCTGGTACCACCCCATTAATTCCCCCTTTTTCCCTTTTTTAAATCCCTAAAGTGACCTGGATTTGCTTTTTTGCCTCCCCCTCCTCTTCTTCCATTTTCTCCCAGTGCCGAATGCCCCTGGGACAGGGTGACGGCCAGCACACACTGGGAGTGTGTCACCAGTCCCGTTTCCTTGCACCATTGGCTGCAGGCCGCACGGACGGTCGTGACGCGCCCACACCCACACGCCCACAGACGCCTCGCTGATGGCAGACATCACAGCTCAGTTGTTTTGGGGGCAAGGAACCCAGTCTCCCCACCTACCCCACGGACTGCTGGGCAGCTGGGGTTCACTGGGCATCCTCACCACGGGCAGCAGGAAGTAAATCCAGGTCACTTTAGCAGGACGCAACTTCCTTTGACCAGTTCCCACGAAAGACCCATTTCACATCATTCAGAATAATGGTGTGACACAATTGCAGAAGGAGGTCATTAGTTCATTGTTTGTGCACTATGTATTGTGGGTTGTTACAAAGTGAATGGCAGAACAGGGCACTAATGTTACATAGTATCTTTATGCCATATCAAGACAAAAACAAGCAGGTTATGAATAACCAGCATCATTATCATATCATCACCTCCAAATGTATTATTTCATTTCTATTAAAATAAAAAGAAAAAAAGATAAAACAAAATAAAAACAACTCTCTTAATTCCGGATTTGTACATTCAGTCATGTTCACTGTCCCATTTTTATACACCTCTATTTACAAAATCAAGAAAATAAATTTACTTTGAATAAATACATAGCTGAAATACACTTAGTAGGTCTAAATCTTCTTTACTCTTTTTGGGTACCCAGCCCAAAGCAATTTCCTCAAACATTTACACCTGTCGACAAGTCCTGAACTACGTTCCAGTTCATTTCACGCAGCCAACGGGATCTCTGGTACAAACGTGGGACATTGTGTGGTGTTCTAAGCCACGAGGCTTGACTAAATATGAAAGTGTTTTTCTTTTTTTGGCTGTCCAAAGGAGAACTACCAGGATGTGACGCTCAAGTGCCTGTTTAAACATGGAGAGTCAGAAAGGAAAAGCACAGTGGTTAGTATTTCGGCATATTAACCCAGCAGAGATGATGCAGATACCCGCTGCGGGGAGAAGCTGCTGTTGTATCAGCATTTCCTGTGTTTGACTGGTGACTCCAGTCGAGCTCAGACCTGGAGGATGGATTTAAACTTTCTGCATCTGATAAGAAAAAAACCAACCAATCCTGAATGCAGTAAAGAAAGCACATGGCGATACGGCCATACCAAACATGTACAGATACTTGTGTTAAATGCTATTAGCTATTTTTCAATGTAATCTGTCTATGAAGCCTACAGTAGTTGCATTGTGTAGATATTCATACGTGTTCACATGGAGACAGGAGCACCCTTCATTTGAAAACAATTTCACAAGTTTGATAAATATTATTCATCATACATATTCATGGATGCATTTATTCAAACACTCATTCGGTCTAGCAGATGTAGAGCGTACTTTGATTGACAGAAGGGAGATAGTAAAAAGCAATGGAGCCTCTTTTGTCAAATCTTTCATTCAAATCCCATGTACACCCTTCCTCTAGGATCAGATAAATGGCTTTATAGCACTGATCTTTACAGACCAATTAACATGAAGCTTCAATATTATGCCCAACAGTAAGAGATCAGAGTTAAATATACTGTGCGCACTAGATACTAAATCTTTTTCTAATCTAAAGAGTGCTGGATAACACTTATTCAAATGACAGGAGCCAGATCTTTAAACTATCACTGTACAGCACAAAATGGCTCAATAAGATCCTATAGAGACATGCTTCTATTAAGACTGAGTAATATACATGGTAGGGTTAGAAGTGTATCTTCTGCTCGGTAATATTTCTAGCTTAATATTGTTTTTCCTACGCCTCCCAATCGATACTGCAATCTCTACACGATATAAAGAGCTGTGGCCGTCTCTGGGTTGGAAGGGTGGAGGAGGAAGTGATCACAAAAAGGTGGGTGAACCAAGGTTCTTACCACCTTTACTAGTAACACAACTAAAGCTACCAGCAAGAAGAACAGCAATCAGAAGAATAAAGCGACGTTCCGGCTGTTTCTGTGAGAGGCCACGCCTCAGAAGGTAGATCACTCTTGGAGGCACCACGGAAAAGTGAGCGTGGTGAGCACAGTCGCACACCATTTCCCAGCATCCTCTCCTTCATCGTTGGTGGCTTCAGAGCTTCTGTTCACGAAAAGAACATGCCCACTGCTCCCAGGTGATTGCTTCCTACCTCCGTTGCCATCAGAGCAGAACATATTCAGTCCGCTTCAATACACGGTTCCTCGTCTTGCCTTAAACATGTCGCCCAACATCAGCAATATTACTCCTTGCCAGAGCCCCGTGACTCATAAATGCTTGTCTTTGAAGCGACAGATGACGTTGGCTGTACTTGCTGGCTGCTTCTTGTTGAAAAGGTGGCTAATGCTTCTCCTGGAATACTGCCTTACACGGGGCATGCACACATTGCACTACGGCGCCACCATGCTTTTGGGGGACCTCGACCACTTAGAGCACATTTCCGCTTTATGTCTATATGGTCCGAGAGTCATCCTCTCCTCACTCTAATAAAGAGAGACATTTTTGCCAATAATATACCAGTCAAGTGAAGTATATAACATAGATAGCATGACTGCCCCTCAAAAGAACCACCTACTCCTCTCTTACTCCTAAACCTGCCCCTTACCCCATCCCTTGCAGGTTGCAAGCTTGTCCACTGAAGACACAGGAGTCCAAGTGTCCAAAAAATAAAAAAATCTAAATTGGAAACGCCCCCACCCCGTATCCCACGAAAAGAGATGAAAACCTTGCTGGGAGGGGCTCAGATGGAAATAGGACACATGATGACCTTGTCCTCCAGCATGACACTGACCACCAGGAACACAAAGTACAGCAGGAACATGATGAAGCCTAGCAGTTTGCTCATCCTCCACTTGCAAGCGGCGATGGAGATGATGACAAAGAGGAGCATGAGGAAGAGCAAGACGATGGCGCAGAAGAGGCCGTTGCTGCTGACGGTCACTGGCGTCATGCCGTGGAAGGTGGAATACAAGAGCCAGGGGAAGGGCAAACTGCGAAGGAAGACAACACATGTAAAGGCGCACCGTCCTCTCTCACTCTGCTCCACATGGATATCTTTATGAATGTTGTCCCTTGTCTCTTCACAACAGATCTGAGTGCGTTACAGGAGTAGAGGAACTCATCCGGCTGGAACGAGTCAAACCTTTTTCATGCGACCGAGCAGATTGAATAGCTCGACAAAATCCCTGGAGGACATTGACCTGTGGGATGCTCATTATGCAAGTGTAATTAAATTCCTTAACGAAGGCGACACAGGCTGGGGTGCCCGCGTGGTGTCGACGGGGGGAAAAGCCACACAGGGAGAGCTCAGCCTGTTTATGAACATCTAGGCGATGGTTCATGGGGAGCGTGGGGGGGGCACAGTGGGTAAAGCGCTCAGCATTGGCCTCATTTATCATGGGCCTGCAAAACTGCTGGCAGAGGTAGGTAGTTTGGGTCCAGAAAGTAAAAATCCAGACCAAGATTTTGTTCCCACCAACCAGTTGAGTACAAAGAGTCACAATCAAAGAGTCCTCAATCTTGAGCTGTATTTCTACATTCTGGACCTGACCTATCCACCTCTGACTATTGTAATAATGTAGCTGAATCCTTGAACCAACTGCTTTACCAGAGCAGTAAATCATGGGTAGAGTAACTGGGTAATCAGTCTGGTGATTGTCTTTGCAGTACAATGTAACAATAATTTTGACCTACCCCACCGTGATGTCAAAGATGTTGGAGCCCACGGAGCTCGACACAGCCATGTCTCCGAGTCCTTTCCGTGCCACGATGACACTGGTGATCAAGTCAGGGATGGAGGTTCCAGCTGCCAGAATGGTCAAGCCCATAATCTCCTCTGTAATCCCGATTGTCTCTCCTACCTGTAAGGTGAAAGTTTTGTGAGCATAATTGGATTCTATTGGGATGGACCAGGAAGAAGACAGCAAGGCGTGTAGAGCCTTGATGATCTTACATCCATTTTGTATTGTTCACCTGGCTTGGGTGGCAGCTCAAATTCTACAAATTGACTTTCTGCGCTGTTAGATCATCAGAGGAAGCACCAGTCAGATATCCAGGAGCTGACCAGGAGTGATTCCAAGGCACACCGATAACCTTGGTGACCCGTGTGGAAAGATGCACACGTTCTTTGGTCCACAGAAAGTGAGCTATGCTAGGGGCTCTGAGGTACATCCAGGATCCATAGATTATCAGAGTCATTGTTTCAGGTTTGATAACCGGCTACCAAAATCGGAGCTCTTACAGCAGCGGAGGTGCTTGGATCATTGAATATCTGAGGTTTAGCCCAGAGGCCTAATCTGTCCAAGGGCTCTCAAGCTGAGAGCATGGCTGTAAAAACATCTAAGCGAAACAAATCATCTGAGACTCTTAACATTCATATGGGGCTTCAGGCTGAATTCTGCAGGCTCGTGATGTGTCTGACGTACAGTGTTATCAATACAAATATAACATCCAATACACACCTATATCCCAATATCCAAGTGTTCCTAAAAGCAGCACAGATAGGGTAAACTAAAATGTTGGGAAGCCAGTTCCATTACTGCATATGAGGAAAACTATGATCCCTTCCAAGTTCATGCAAGAAACTCCATTTAGTCTCCCAAAAACATCCCACATATTAAAAAGTACCAATTTTAGCCTGATAAAGAACACTTTAAACACAAATCACCTAATTTACCAAACTGTTAATAAGTTCATTAATATGGATTTGCATTTTTATATGCAGTATTTATTTCTCAGTGTACATTATGTTTTGTAGTAATAGCTAGGGGCTTAAATAATTACATTTATGTAAAAACAACAAATAAAAACAATATAAAAAGAGACCAATACAATTCACCTTTAGCTGTGCTCAGATGGCACATGTTGTGCTGGAATTTGGTCACTCAGATACCCAATACGGATATTAATATACACAGCTTGTGTAACTCGGACGCCAGGAGCTCAAATACTGGAGGAGGAGAGAGACGTAAGGAGCAGGCGCTGATACAGTGCGGCGCTGATACAGTGCGACGCCGCACCCAGCGCACGACAAACCACCTCAGGGGCGAGAACCTGAGTGCAGCCAGGCGGCAGGAGATACCTCTGCTGAGGTATCAAATACTGGGATATAGGTGTAACATGATATATACATTATATATCATATTCTATATTTCTAAGGTATTCAATTCCATCATTCCAATCTGGCATATATCTGTAGCAATCTACAATCCTATATGATCTGTGACACATCCTGTATTTTACAATCAAGTACAACAATAATTATATTTAGACTTTACACATACTGCACAGCCATGATTCAATGGCCAAAAATCTGTGCACTGTAGTCTTCCAGATATTTGAATGAATGTGCACATGTGACTCTTGCTGACGTCCTGTTACCTTCTACTGATAACGAACTCCGCCAGTCCTCACTTTTGTAATTATTACAGTCAACCTCCTTAACACCAACTCACCTGCAGTGGCAATTTGGTTTTAATATCAGTAATAATGACAATAATAATAAAACATTGAATATTGTTAGCACTTTTCATCTCCAAAATGGGTTTTGTGAATCCAGGTCTTCACGCGATACCTGCATCAACACATCTATGTATGTTAAACCACAAAAAAGTACTAAGTACTACAGTAAGATTCCTTTACCTGTTTAAATATGCACATCTTTTTGCCCTTTTGCACTGTTTCGTACAGTAGTGCATGGGGTTAGCTTATCGACCATACACTTGAAAACCAACTCAATCTGAAAATATCTGGGCCAGCTGGGGAAAGACGTGACGGCCCCCCGCCAGGCGGTCAGCTGGGTGCAGGAGAGCAGTTACCTGATGTGCCCACCACACCATGAGGTAGGAGAAGGCTGCAATCCAGCAGATGGATCCAAAGAAAGTGACGGGGAAGAACTTCACTGAGGCCTAAAAGGGCAAAAGAAAGTTATAGGCATGATCACTTGCGATGAGCCCAATTGACCAATGAGAACTCAGACTGGCTGCCGATCGGACCGAGACAACAAATCCGATTGCATCAGATTTCCAGTGCTCATAGTAACTGTAATGGGTCACTTCAGGTAGTGTGAACACTGGAAGACATCCTTAATCTGTCGTTACAGTGCATAGATACGTGTTAGTTTCTTTCTGCATTCGTACACTGCACACAGCTTCTCAACAGTATGGAAAATCACATTGTTGGGTGTGGAAAAAATATCCACCCATCCATTTTTTAAACACTTATGTCATTCAGGGGGGGGGGTTGGTGGCCTGGGGGGCTGGTGGCCTGGAGCCTATCCCTGGAAGTGTAGGACACAGGCGGCTGGGCAGGGGGACACCCTAGATGGGATGCCAGTCTATCGCAGGGCACATGCACACACTATCATACGCTATAGAAGATGTAGAGATACTAGCACACACTATCATACGTTATAGAAGATGTAGAGATACTAGCACACACTATCATACGCTATAGAAGATGTAGAGATACTAGCACACACTATCATACGCTATAGAAGATATAGAGATACTAGGTGTCTTTGGACTGCAAGAAGAAACCAGGACTGCGAGGAGAAACCACCATGATGCAGGGAGAATATTCAAAATCCACATGCACAGAGAGGCAGTATGGTTTTAATCCCCAAATCTGGAGGTATGGGGCAAGAATGCCCCCTTCTGAGTCACCGCGCCATCCATGAAAAAATATGACACTGGAGTTTGTATTGACCAAAAGCTTCATGGCCAGTTAAGCTTCATGGCCGATTCTCATCTTATTTAAAAATGTTGAAAGACATCGAAAATGGAGTAACGTCTCTGCATGGGGCACTACTGACTTGACAACAGCTGTGTCATGCTTAATTATTTATTTACCAACTAATACGTAATTAGAGACAGAGAGACCACAGCTAGTTTAGCAAAGAACGACCAAACGCTGGGCATTATGTACCACATTCATGAAGAACTTCCACAGGAAAGTGGAGTCTATGCCTTCATGGGCTGCGGACCCCTGTTCCATTATCCACACGTCTTCCAGCTACTTATTCTGATCAAAGCCGTGGGTGTCGTCACTGGGCATATATATACACCAGTTACCATAACTGCAAGTCATCAGAGAACACCCACAAACCGCAGGAAGAACAGCAATACTCCACAGAAAAAGCAGGGGCTGGATTCAAACCCGCAACCTGAGAGGTAAAAGGTAAAAGTACTACTCACTGAGCCACCTAGTGTCACTATTTGGCATAGCAGTAACATTTTAGGAAACATTCTGCACCAATTAAATATCATGTTAAACCGGCCCAGGCTGGCAGGCTGGCAGCCAAAAAGCAAATGGCAAGCAGGACACGAAATCTTAACAGGAGTGAATGGGCTGCATTTCAATGATCCCAGTGTCTTTGGTGGGCTGGAGGTCAGGCCTGTGAGCACGTATCTCTGATCCCAGTGTCTGAGGAATTTCGGTTAAGGGTGAAAAGTCCGGCCTTCTAATACTGAGGTAAGCAGTCACATCATGGCTAAACTGACTAGATACGAACACCGACCCAGGGGACAAACAGTCATTTAGAGAAGTTCATTAAATAAATGCTCACATTACTCTGTAAGTGGTGGATCCTACTCACCGGCTTCCTGACATCGGGCAGCGTGAGCCATAGCGGAAACACAATGGGCAGGATTAAGAGGTATGTACAGCGTTTGCGGTTCGACTCCGGCCAGGACAAGCTGAGAGGCTGGTCCTCATCCTCCTCTTCATCACCCTGAGGAGAAACAAACACAGAACTATGCTGGATGGCCCTCAGTTACAGATGGCCACCAGTAGGGGGCGAATCTGTACGCTTGCAAAGCATTATGCATGCGAGAAGCACATTAAACCAGAGCAAAGGGCATTGTTATTGACTGGGATATGTTTATCTTCAATAGAAGCTCCAAAACGTTGCCATGGCAACCCAAGAAAACCATTGTGACAAAAAAGCCATAAGTGCTGTGCGCTTCTCAAGCTCGTGAAACTCATGAGACGGACCAGTCAGGGAAGAGTCCTGCCTCCGCTATGACGTGAAGATGATGATGACCCATGCTGGAGTTTGGGCTCTGCTGGAGGCCAGCTGCCTTCATCTTTTGTTGTAATATGGTAAGATGCCATGGAAACACAGGGGCGACGTGAGGAGCTTCAGAGAGACGACGTGGGACTCAGCTGGCGGCAACGACGGCCGCTGGTGGGGGTGGGGGGGGCCTGTCCCAACAGCAGCTTTGCATCAGCCACAGCGATTCACGTGACTGGCCTGAACAGAGGCCAGCCTCCCTAATCACTGGCATCTCGGCTTCTAGTGTTGGGGCCAGCGGGGGTAATTGGGCCTCTCATTTGAATGTCATGCTGTCTCGCTGGACAGGTAAGAAAAGGTTACCTCTCAGAGGAGTGGCGGCCAGAGCGGCAAAAACGGACTTGGCCTTTAGCCCCAGAAGGTTCCAGAAGTCCGCTAATGCAGAACACGTTCAGTCAAGCACCTACAGGCTACTCAGAGCATCTTACTCTGCCCGAAATTGATATCATGTCCTAAAATAACCAGACAGTTACAGCGTTTTCATGACGCGGGCGGCCAAAGGCAAAGGTAGCAAGATTTTCTTTCTTGCGTAAAGGGATGGTCACTAAACAAGATACAAAGCAAGAGGAAGAACAACATAAAACACAAACAAGCAAGAACAATTAGCACTGTCCAATCAGGCGGCTTAACACCACAATCTGTCCAATGCTCTTTCTGATCCACAATCCCAAGGGGGACCCAAAGCCTGCCTGCACAAGCCAAAGACGTGTCACAGAGGCAGAGTGGGGATCTCCAACATCCAGCTCCTCAGCTCCTGCTGCTCTTACTGGTTACTGGAGAGGTTACTGGTATATAGACTCACGCTGCTGGCCTGTCCACTTGATATGCACCAGCTTCTCAGAAGATGGGTAGTGCAATACAGGTGCCACAGACCTTTACAAATCTCAGGATGATGGAAATCCCAAAGGGTGATGGGGAAAAAAAAACCCTACTAAATCTCTTCCTAACCCCCGAAGTCAGATACGAGAACCCCATAGGACAGTCCTTGGTCACATGACACCGAGTGTTACGTACCATGCAGGTGGGGAGTTTAACATGCTATCCTTTGTTGTCATCGTACCATGACAAAACCACCTGAGGTCTCTGTAACCTTGGTGATGCACACAGGAGAACAATAAGCTGGGGAAAAATAAGTGTTCATTCGGTGTACCTTTTTGTCGATGTCCAGAGAGCTGAAGTGCAGTTTGAAAAGATACCTGCTGTTATTGTTGCTCCTGAACTGCTTCCATCCAAAGAGATTTACATGGAAGGAACACGAAGCGTTTATCCGAATGGATTTAGAGACATGGAGCCTCTTGATCTGAAGTTAAGGTCCTCGCCTGATTCTGAATGTAGTATTTTAAGCACACAGATATAGCCATTAAATACAGGATCTGAATATCTGCATTTGCTTTCTTTTTTTTTTTTTTTTAATGTACATAGATTTTTTTAAAAGTACCTAGATTTAAACATATTTTAAAGTTTTCCACCCTCTATTCACAAATGTCTTTTCCAGAGTTCATCTGTCTAATCCATCCAACTGGCGACACAACAGATATGATTACAATATAATAGAATGATTCAACAGCTATCTTATATGCCCTCAAATATCTGACAAGCGGGAGAAATTTATTACACAAAGAACAAGAACGATCCAGTTTATACCTGGCTGTGTGTGTAACACAGTAATGTTTTGCTCCCGTAACGAAAGCCAGAAGCACTGAAATATAAATGAAATAAATCAAATACAAATAATATAATTACACAGTATAGAGTATATAAAGTGCAAAATACTAACTATATATTGTAAGCTAAAGATAAGTCTTTAAAATAGTCTGAAATTACAATATTGGGGTGATGTGTGGCTTAGTGGGTTAGAACGGCTTGTGATCAGAAGGTCGTTGGTTCAAATCCCAGGATCAGCGGAGCGATGTCACTGCCGGCCCCCTGAACAGGACTGGCTGACTCTGCTTTGGATAAAAGCCCCTGCTGGATATTTGAATGGACTCCCAAAGTTCTACTTGCGGAAGGTGTCTGGGCCGGTTGTCTCACATACAGAGAGTGTGATTAGGGAGCACAGTGGGTGTCCTATCTCTCCTTGCTGTGACCCCCCCCAACCCTGAGACAAACACCAGACACAGCCATTAAACATGAAGAAACAATAATTTTCGTCAGAAGTTTTTGGCTTCAGGATGCCCTCAGCGAGCCAGCCCCTCCCCCTTCCAGCCCCCAGCGCAATCTTCCACCCACCCCAACCGGACTCTGGTGATCGATAGGTACTGAGAAATCCAATCCCGGGTCACTGCATGACCGGGAGATGACATTTCACGAACCAGACGACGTTGAGATCGATTTTCACTCCATTGCTCACTGCTAGATACGGCGGATCCATCTTCGCACAGAGTCGGCATGACTGAGAAGTTTCTCTTACATTTTTTTCCTTTTGATCTTTTTATGATTTACATTTTTATCCAAAACAACAAACATTTTTGCAGAAAGCATGGTCAGACGGTCCCGGGATCAATTGGGGGTTAAGGACCTTGCTCAAGGGCCCAAAGACAAAATCATGCTGCCAACTCTGGGATTTGAACTGCCGACCTTCTGATCAGAGTCAGTTCTAACCCACTGAGCCATACACTACCCCCAGTACATTTCGTAATCACCTTTTACCCAACGCTGAACTTCTACTACAGCTAATATGTATTACGTGGAAAGTTCTCTCACCAAACTTTGTGTCCACCATGTCACCTACACTCATTCTGAGATCTACCTGCATCTTGTCTTAGGAGACAAAGTGTTTGTTGAAATGCTGAAGGAAACTCAGCCTGAGCCAAGGCATGATAATCCCACCGTGTGCCTTGACGCCTCTCTTCCTCCCATCACCAGCTCTCACCGCAAGTGTGAAACCAACCACGTCCTCTCCACCAATCACATGTCCAGCTGGGACAGCTTATGTAAACTTCTCAGGCTTTGTTTTGCCATGTAATTCCTAATATATTCAAAGTCCGGTCCAATTAATGATGCATTATTAAGGCGTGTTTGTCGTCCATCATTTTGTCGCATGAATATTTCATGAGATCGGTGATGGGGACTGTCTGTCCAATCATTCGGGGGCAAAGCACAGAATGCAGGCAGGCTCCAAATCAGCAGGTCATGTGACTCACTCATTCGCAATGGAACAGCGGTGGTGACATGGGCAATGCAGCAGTACTGCAAGCCGTTCGTGTCTCGCTTACCTTCGCGGGTGCTGCAGAGGAGAAAACACATTCACGCAGCCTAAACGTCGGGCGCACCGGTCTCAACAAGTATGAGAGTGTAATGAAGGTGCTTCCATGCACGAACAGGTGAAAGACCTGGAACGAGCGTAGCAGTAAACTCTGAGAAGCAGGCAGCACAGTCTGTATATACCAGCTGGTAGTCTATCATCCTGTGTAGGGGAGAGGGTTGCTAGGAGAACGTTCAAAGTACTGATGCCACCGTGGGTAACCGAAAGGTGACTGTGTGCTGCGTGGACACAGCAATTCACCTGTGTCACTCTGGGTAACAACACCAAAGTCCGGTCTGCACCCCCAAACTAAGACGACGAGGAGTCCACATGTATCTTGTAAAAAAGAGGTGTTCAGGCACCTCAGTTGCCAATTCTATCTTCTTTTGTGAACAGCAATCAGAAAAAGAAACTGACTTTGAAAATGACTATTATTATTAGTTCACAGAGCTGTGAGGAATAGATATGAAAAATAATGTCAATAAAACCAAAGAGGTTTTACCATCGCATGAAAACATCTCCATTCACAGTCAAACCATGAGTTTTCTTTCAAAACTGTACTCCTCTGTTCTCGTAGCATGATCGGTATGACCTTTCCCGTGAACTAAATTTAGATGCCAAAAAAAGAGAGAAACTGTGAGAAGACCACAGTGTGTTCCTACCCTGCAGACTGGCCTTATGAGGTAGTCTATCATCGTTTAAAGCAAGTCACAGCTTTCTGTGGCGTGGGGCGGTTACCTGCATGGATATATAAACAAATGATGTGTTTTAATAAGGCAGCACACTCATGGGCGTCTCCGTGGGAAACCAGCAGGTGAAGTAAGTTCTGGTGAAGCATGACCTCATTGGCGTTCTGCCGCCGTTTGTATAAAGCCGATCATTTTCCGCGTTCGTCTCTCGTTGGGCTGGAGCAGCCAGATCGCACTGTCATGAGGCTCCCTACGGTCCCATTGACTCCCTCACTTTCGAGTTGGTGGACTCCAACTGTCGGAGAAGATTGCTTTGGTGTCTCGGTTCATTGGGAAACGGCACGTGGGGCGAGGGTTTAGCTCGGCTGTGGACAGGCGTCCCACGGCTTCAGGGCTTCGGTGTGACATTGTGGGAGGCGGCCCAGTTTGACGTCAATCGTGGGGTATTACGCGGTGGGCTCTGGCTGCCGGTTTGGCCTGAGGCCCTGTGGCCGACTCCCCCCCCCCCCACCAACGTTCGCCGACCGGCCTTCCAATGCCCTTCCTCCCAATCCGACAGCGCGTGTCGCGCCAAGCTGTCTGGCGTTCGTCAGCGGGTCTACCAGGTGCCCACGCCAGGGGGCCGGAGCTCGGTCCAAGCCTGCTGCACAGAACGTTCCAGCCAGAGAGAGCCATGTGACTCTGCTCTGTGGATCAGGGTACGAGAATCTGGCGCCGGGTGAAGGGTCCCACCTGAGGGCCCTAAGCCAGCATCTGACAGCTCGCTAGCGAGGACAGAAGCATCAGACATACCGAGTGTCATGTCATGGAGATAATGACACTAATAAGCTACCAGAAAGTCACTGCTTATGTCAAAACATATCTGCCTGTTTTCAGCATATTATAAAAACCACACTGAGTACCAAAACAAACCCCCGTACCTCATATAGTCATATATACAGCTCTGGAAAAAAATTGAGACCGCAGCAAAATTTTCAGTTTCACTCATTTCTCCATTTATGGGAATGCAAGTGTGTAAATATACATTTTTTTGCCAACTCCAGCCTGGCTCTTCACTGCTTCTCACTGATGAAGGGCTTCTTCCTTGCTTTATGGGTCTTTAGGTCTGTCCTAGCAGTGCACTTCACACCACTTAATGTTTCCCGTTCTTTCTGAAGGTCACTTGAGGTCATCCTCCCATTTATGAGGCATTGCCAGAAAAGTTGACGGTGATCTCTGGCATTAGAAAGTTCCTTCTGCCCTCTACCTGTCTGGTTTTTGGTCGTTCCAGGTTTGTCTCCTGCTTCACCTTGTTCTTGTGTACTGCTGTCTTAGAAACTTTGAGCCTGGAAGCAGCCTGCCTCGCAGTGTAGCCTTCTGACAGCAGCACCAGAATTAAAGAAGGATTTAAATTACAGATGTTTAAAAAATATGGAGTGGTCTCTTAATTTTTTTCCAGAGCTGTAAATGTGGTCTTTGATATCGCCTTTTATTATCTTGCCTAGTGAAGACACAAGAGACTCAAGGTGAGATTGAGTGCAATTCAAAAAAGCATGGAATTCATTTCACGTCGGCCATCTCTTATTGACCTATCTGAGGTGACCCTGCTCTGTAGGGATTTGAAGAAGAGGTTGCAGCAGGTGTGGGTGCGGATAAGTGCATATACAGGCAAACAAAATATGCAGGAACAACTGCAATACAGGAAACACAAACACTGCAGAAAAGAGTGCGGTGAAAAATGAATTATGCACAAAGTGTAAATAGTGGGAAATGGTGATGAATATACACAGCAAGACAATAAACAACAGCCATCCATCTCCCAGCTTATCTTGGTCAGTCGCAGGGAGCCTGAAGTCTATTGCTACAGTCTTGCAACTCTGTGTTTTATTTTTCCTGTTTAAATTGAGTTGTGGCTTCAATTCGCTTTATTTGGCTGTATTTGGCTGATCGACTGTGCAGATTAAGGTCCTCGTATTGGACAGATTTTTGGGAGAGGAGTTATAGTAATTGTTCCGGTTTTTTGTTCCTCTACAATCTGATTGGCTATCTCTCTGAACCAATCATTTTTCGTTCTGCCCTCAGAACATTTTTGTGTAAGTAAAACTCCCATGAGGTCAGAGAGTGCACACATACAATAATGCACAGCATCAATTTAGAGTCAATAATTAGCAGAGGTGGGATTTGAACCCCCACAACTGGAGGTGTGAGGCAGCAGTACTAATCACTGAATCACGCCCCCCATAAGAACCAGCACACAGAAACATACAAAGCCATTAAAAATGTTCAAAGAATGAATGGCTGAGCAGTGCTGAGAGTGTAATCTGGAAAGCTCATACCGGATATATGTATTTCAGTCCAGAATGAAGAGATGATGAATAATGCAGCTGTACCAAACAGTCCACAGTGGGCAAAGCGATGTGGGTGTCGGACAAGCAACCATCTAAGCGATGTGCACAGCAAAATAACGGTCACAACAAAATATGATATGGACAACACAACTGGTCCAAACAAGAAACAGCAAATCAAATGCATTCTCTCTTGAACCAAGCTTTCTTAATCTTCTCTTTCTTCCCCCTTACCTGGTATTAACCTGCGCCTGCTATAGGTTAACCTTAAAAGGGCCATGCATATGCCCCTAACAAAAAAGCTATGAGCGCCACCTGGTTTCCTGGAGGTTACTCTGCACTCCTAGGCTTAATTGGTTTTTCCCTGAGCAGTGACACCTCTATTACCCTTCATGTGGTTTTGGGATTTCGCTCACCGCTTCTCCCTCGTGTCCCACGCTGCCGTTCATGGGCGGGGTCACCTCCACCTCCACATTAGAGCTGTTGGGGAGATTTCTATCTGCAGTGGAAAGACGATGGGGCAGCTTAACATTATATCAATGTGTTTTGATAGATACATCATACATACGCGTTGCGGGGTTGGGGGGGGCGATCAGAGAGGCATCCACACTCGGGCCCATCCCGAGAGGGGGCCAAGCGCAAAATTTACACAGGGGACCCACCTCACCCGGCCGTCAAATTTTAGAGTGCCCCTTCTGGCAACAGGCAATAACGCAGAATTGACAACAATTTATAGAGAACCGGGTCTACAATTTTTACCGAGTATGGTGACACCCCTCCTTCACCCCTGAGCAACATTCACAGCTGAACGGATGCACAAAATTAACCGCACCCAACATGGCCACAGTACGGAGGAACATGGAGCTATTTCTGTTTTTCTGGCTGCGTCACTCTCTCCTCGTCTGCCTCCCCCATTCCATCTCCTTTCCAACTTCAAACCTCCTTTTACTCCAGGTTGCCTTTGACATCTATTCTCCCACTGCTTTGGTAACACACCAGGCTGGAAGTTCTAGTCTCTGCATGTTCTCTGATGACGTTACTCTCCCCTGCCCAACCCCCCACCCCCGCCGTCCTGCCAGATGGTCAGCAGGTGAGACCGAGGCTCCAGGTGGGGATTCAGTGGCAGCTCCATCAGGGCTCGCCAAAGGACACGCGGCTGTGCTGGGAGGTCAGCTTCGCGGGGCTCGTAAGCAGGTCAGACCCCTCCAGATGCCCATTCAGAAAAACAGCCCACTTCAGTCAAGGCTAAAAACAGCATTTTAAAAAAAGTCTTCTGGAACACATTGTGCAGAAATCCAACTCTAATCTTATTTACATTACACGCAGCAAATATTTCCTGCATACCTATTGGGAGAACAGTGATAAAAATAACCAAAATAAATTAAGCAATTGATCGGTCAAGCAATTAAGCTGTATGTTTGTTTACTAAATTGAGACAGTTAAATATTTACTGTAAAATAAGAGACCTGTGCTGTAAGTATGTTTTTCTAATCTGTAATGAAATATGAATGGGCAAAATTAGCATTAACAACACACATCAAAGTGAGCAGCAAGCGATGACATGGCGTCCTTTAAAGACGCTAATACGCTAAAGTGAGGCTGTTAGCATAATCTGGTCCTCGTCACAGATGCCCATGTCATCCTTTGAGGTCCGCATGAAAGCCTGCCTCTTTGAAGTTAAAACGCATACTGTCTGCGGCGATTCGGGGCAACCGCCCTCAAAGAAATGCCGACGTGGATTCCCCACCAAAGGACAGGTGACGTTTATGGTAGCTGTGCGAGTTCATGGTACATAAATATCTCCAAATAAAGTCCGTTTCTTTGATTTGACTGCCTCAGTGATCAGAGTGTGCGTATGCCGGGTCATTCCATCCCTTCCGTTAAATTGTCTGCCATCTTGAATCTGTAGGACTCAAGCAAGCTCCTAACCCTACCGCAAGGACGTTGGAAAGGATGTAATATCATCACCACTGACTGATTACAGCATCCATATAATCGGGGTAGGTCTTCAGAGAACGTCCCTAGTTAACCACTAAGGACATACGTGTGCTGGTTTCCAGATACACCCACAATAATATTCCCATTTTAATTACACTTGCGTACTTCGTTGTTTATTTTCCAATGGTTTTCGTGGGCATCTTTTATGTTTGTATTTAAAGACATTTCCCGTGTTTTTAATATCCTGAGGAGGAAGGGGGGAGGAGAGAGCATCGTGCGGCGCACACACGCCCGCGTTGGTCACAGCGCGCGGCTATGCCAAGCGTGCCCCAGGCCCCCCGGCCGGCCTACCTGCCCCGCCCACTGCCCCGTTGGCCTTCTCACAGTCCTCCACCTGGCACTTCTTCTTGGCGATCTTGTGCAGGATGGATGCCTTCTCTCGGAATTTCCCTGCAGAGGCAAGCATTG